GTGTGTGTGAGTGTATGTGTGTGTGAGTGTATGTGTGTGTGAGTGTATGTGTGTGTGAGTGAGTGTGTGTGTGAGTGTATGTGTGTGTGAGTGTATGTGTGTGTGAGTGTGTGTGAGTGTATGTGTGTGAGTGTATATGTGTGTGTATGTGTGTGTGTGAGTGTGTGTGTGTTTGTGTTGGGGGGGTTGCTGGCCCAGGGTAAATGCCTTGTGAGTATTACCTACATTCCTCTCCTTAACTCTAGGCCACCACTGCTAAATCCAGCTGCTTCTCAGACTGTGTTGGCTCCTGTAAAACTTCAGCTTTCTCGGTCTTCATGATCTGAGCCACCCTTCCCCTTGATTGGTTGGGAGTCCCTGTTTGGAAGTACAGTGTCCCCTTTCCCATTGGATGTCAAGCAGTTTGTTCCCTGAACTTCCTGGAGATCCAGGAGAAGACTCAGGGCTACTCAGTTTTGCCTCACCCTATGCGAGTTCATGATTGGATGCGTATTACTACCTTTTCCCTGGGTTGCTGTGAAGGATTAGCATGAAGTCCGTAGGAGCCCAACTCCTGTGCTAGCAAATTGGGAGAGGCATTGGGGCAAGCATAACTTTCACTACGTTACTCCAAGGCAGAGTGACTTAGATCAGGGTCTGTCCTTCTGCTGTTTTAGATAGGTATACCAAAGGAGATTGTGTTGTTGTTGCTGCTGTTGTGGGTTTTGTTTTTTTCTTTTTGTTGGCGGTGGTTTTGCTTTTTTGGGGGGACAGGGTGTCTCTCTGTAGCCCTGGCTGTCCTGGAACTCACTCTGTAAACCAAGCTGGCTTCAAATTCAGAGATCCGCCTGCCTCTGCCTCCTGAGTGCTGGGGTCAAGCGCATGTACCACCACCCGGCAGCTGTTTTGGTTTTCACTTATTTTTTTCTTTGTAGGAAACGAAGAGACTTACGATGCATTATTGGAATTAAACTAATGCCACCACCAAAATGCTGCCTTTTGAGATAATTCATTTCACAATGGATTTCTTTGGCAATTTGCTTATCCTATAGGCCCCATAATATTTTTATTTTATTCACCCAATAAAGATGTTTCTTTCATCTAAGGATCCCAAGGGTTAAAATAGTTTTTATTTTTACAAAGAGGAAAAAATAAATAAGACCCTTTGAAAAACAAAACCTTTCAACTTAGATAAAGAGATGCCAAAATTCCATCCTTTGGCCTCACCTCCCCCAGAGGTTTCCAAGGATGGAGGGATCAGTGTGCTTGCTCATGCAGGCACCACCACACTTTTCATCAAGTTGGACAGGTTGCCAGGCCACAGGGCTTCTGAAAGCATGGATAGAGGGCATGACCTTGGGCAAAGAGACTAGCCGAGGTGAGATGATTCTGAGAACTGAGTAACCTGGGACTCCAGAGCTCTGGACCTTGCAGTATTCCTGGATGTGTGTGTAGTCACTACAGGTTCCATTAAAAGAGGTGGCTATGGCAACCTGAGATCAGAAAGGCCTGTGTGCCCAGCCTGCACTCCACCCTCATGCACGTGAAGCTGGGTGGTGGGAGCCCTAGAATTCCTCAGCGTTGGCGTTTGTAAAATGGTGACACAGGGCAGCCACACTTTTCCCAACACCCTTGAATCATCGGATGAGCCTCAGCCTTCGGGACTTCTCTGACCTTAGGCAGATGTACTGCATAGTTTGATAAACATCAACACATATATTTGGGTGTCTTCTCTCCCTAGGGCCTGGGGTAGAATTTTTGCAAAAAGAGAAAAATCATGGTGCTGGTAACTATACTCAAGACCTGCTCATACTAGGCAAATGCCCTGCCATTAAATTACACCAGGAGAATCCAATTCTGCACTCACTTCTTCCCATGGTCTCAGGTTTACTCCATAGACCAGGTAGGCCTTGAACTTCTGATCCTCCAGCTCCCGCCTCCTGAGTGCTGGGATTTAAGCATTTGCCACCATGACTGGGGAGACCTTGTGAGTTAATATTAACAAGTAGAAATAACTATACTATGCACCCCTGAAATTATTGTGTAAAGGTTATTGATTGAAACATGCATCAGTGCCCATTGCAGCCAAGAGACGTGATGGTACCGTTACTACAGCAGAGCCTGCCGCCGTAGACCAAGTTCTGGGTGTCTTAGGGTTGCCTGCTAGTAAACTCTTGACAGTCCCTGTTGTGTCCCTGTCATTTTCCTTTTACACATGAGATACTTTGAGCCCCAGGAGACTGGCATACATTCTCCAAAGCCATAAGGCCAGGAGATGGCAGGGTAAAGGTTAAACCTAGGATTCTGAGTCTAAGGACAAAATCATGTCATTATGGCTAACAAATAATAAATATGTAGAGGAAAAATTCCATGAGAATAGGGGCATTCTGCCAGAGTTGCTCCCACAGGCAGTTTGTAGCTGCAAATTTAGCTCTGGCCAGCAGAGGCAGGCACACAACAGCTTTGACCCACAGAAAGTCAGCTTGCCCAGGGCTGAGGAGGCTGGACTTCTGAGCTCCGCCCTGCCCTTGGCTCTTACCCTTAGCTGTAATGCATAAGCAGGCTCAGTCTCACCAAGTGGCCAGCTTCCAATGACCTCTGTTTCCTTCTCCACACAGGAAACCAGACTACAGCATGTACCAGCAAGCAGCCTTGTTGGTCTCAAGTCTGCTTTTCTTTAGCCTACAAGCCCTCTGTGGACCCCCAGGGAAGTACATTTAGGACTCAAATATGCCTGTAGCCCTTCACTGGGTATGCTGTTTCTGTGATTTGCTTTAGAGTTCTTCACAAGATGGTAAACTCACTTATCTCCTGAATTTATCCAATAAATCCCCAGTCCAAAATTTGAGTTTACTCTTTCTACATCCCAGGCTAAAACGTGGGTATTTCATTTTTGTGGCCAGATAAAGACGAGGGAAGGGGGTGATTTAGCCCAGCACTGCCAGGTCTCTTAGAAACCAATTAGAGTCAGGTGTGGTAGGACACCCCCAGCACTCCAGAGGCAGAGGCAGGAGGATCTCTGAGAGTTTGAGGCCAGCCTCCTTTACATAGCAAGTTCCAGGTACAGAAAGAAATTCCTCTCACTGTACTCCCCTGGGTTTGCCATGCTTCTGGAGAGCCTGATCTATACATCCAGTTGTATACATCTATACATCACATTCTGCCATGTTCACTCTGTTAGCTTCAGGGCCCAGCAGAAGCATCCTGACCTGGGGAGGGCGGGGGATGGGGGGAGCGAAACTGAACAGAGATGCCATGAGACTCCCTGCAATTATTTTCCTTCCAGACTGTCTCCCAGATTGCCTGTTTTGGAAATAGCCCCCTCCCCCTCCTAGTTTCACTGTCTGGGATCTCAGAAAGTATTAAATGAAACACTCTGGAAATTACCAATAGAGTTTCACACGTATGCAGTTCCAAATAATACGAGGAAATCTCACACTACTCTGCTACTGTGTTCCTTTCAGAACATGGCTCATCCCTTTGTCTGGCACGTTAGTGCTGCACACACTACCTGCCCGTCAGCCACTTAAAAAGAGCCATGAAGTGCCGAAGTAAAAATACAGAAGAGGTATTAGAGCAGGAAACACGAAAGGGCAGATCAACCCTGGTACTGTATAGAAGGACACACAGGGAAAAGCAAAACAAATCTCGGTGTCAGGCATCCCTGCTCCCGGGAGGAAGTGTCCCCTGAGGTAAGACGGCACTAACTCTACAGCCACATGTGGTTCTTTGTGTTTCTGGGTGTGCAGTGGCTTCCTAGGGAGTAGAGACTGCGTCTTAAGTGTCACTCCATCTCTGTGCTTGCCACAGACGTAGACTACAGGAGCCCCACCATGAGTATATAACCCCCCCCCACCTCCCCGTGGAAGAGTGGCTTCAGAAGCAAATTCTGGTTAGGAGGTGTTGCTGAGTTATTCATGTAGCTCAGACACAGTTTAGGGTGCTGTCAGAGGTGGGGACACATGGCTCAGAGTCACTACGTTTCCTGAATTGACTTTTCCCAGCTTCCTTTAGTCTGAGGCAAGATGTCCTGGGTGGGACAGGGGGAAAAAAAAACTTGTGAAAAAGGGCATCATCCCTATCCACAGGTAAATAAATAATTAGTTCTCAGTCAGTAAATCTTCCCGTTTCTCGGCTGTACTCTTCAGTATGAGGCCTGCATGGCTGGCCTGCCTGGGGGCTCTTAGCAAAGAGGCAAGAGAGGTCTTGTCCCGGGATCACGTGAGTCCTCCCCCCCCCAGAAGATGCTGACCCCCCCCCACACACACACACACTGGAGCGGGGACTGAGTTCCAACCCTGTCCACTGCACGGCTTTGGACCAATGTCATTGACTGGCCACAAGCGTGGCTGCTTTTGCTTCCAGAGCTGACTTCTCCAGCGCAGTTTGTCTTTCAGGGTTACATTTCCCCATTTCTTCACCTTTAAACTCAATTAAACCAGCGTTGTTGACTGAACCCTACAAGGGGATGAAGAACTGAGACTCTACGCAGAATTTAAATGAGGAAACACCTCACTCTAAGGAAAGCTGGTGGATGAAAACACCGTGGACACGGGATCGCTGAGGCAGCGAAATCCTAAGGACAGTTCTAGTTCTAGAGAGCCCAGAAAACCTCATGACCCGCAAGGGCAAGCTTAGTACAAAGTGGGCTAGTCACACCTTCCTTCCTGTCCGTCCCCAAACTCTTAAGAGGTGGGCAGGGTAAGTGTAGTGAAAGCTGCCCCAGAGACACACCCCTGACAACTGTCAGCACCATCATCCCAGACCTCCAGTGAGTCTATGCACCCGGCGGCGTTCATGAGCCACAGAATTCATCCCCAGAGGTAGCCTACAAAAGATGTTAGACAAGACGACTGGGAAACCTGGGGATCGAGCTGAGAGTACTGGTATTGGGAGGCTGAGACCAGACTGGACTAGAAGCATCCAGAAGGCTCCCTGCTCCTAGTGGTACTGCGCCCTGCCTGCTGCCTGATGGCTTGGATTACAGGGCTGGGGGCCCCTCCCTGGGCACAGCCACCCACCTGGACACGCCCTGTCGTAGTCGAAGCAGCAGTCCCCGGTGAGCCGGCAGGCTTGATCACAGAAGCACGTTCCATAGACCCTGTCCAGCCTCCAGCCGCGGGCGAAGCAGGCTGGGTCCCGACCAGGGCAGCAGCGCCCCGCCTCTGTGCAGCCAGCCAGGGCCCCGGGCCACAGCCGTGCCAGCGCGCACAGCACCATCCACAGGGTCCTCATGGCCAGAGCTGCGGTGGCACCTGCGACCCGACCCAGCCTGAGCTTGCTGCCTGCGCTCCTCTCCTGCAACAGCCACAGCCTCCGCCCCCGGCCCTCCGCCCTTCCGCGCCTCCCCTCGGCGGCCCTGGCTGCACGCCCAGCGGGCTCTGGGCGGGTGGCCCTCGGGCCCAGGTGGGACGTGCCTCCCCCCACCCCACCGGCCACCCCAAGCCACCAGCCCGCCCCGGACCGCCCCGGACCGCCCCAGAGAGCCGCCAAGCAGGTGCTGTGCTCGCTCGCGCAGCTCGCCCCGACGGCCACTTTTCCAGGCTCCAAACTCTGCCTCCTTAGGTACGAGGGACACGGTAGCCAGTGCATGTGTGCCATCAGGGACACCCAGGAGCCCTAGCTCTCTATAGAAAATTCTCCTCGGGAGGTTTTCCCCAAATCACTGCTTTGCCAACTCTCACAGGCTCTGCAGGTCACACCGGAGCCAACAGTATCTTTCAGTAACAGTTTAAAGTGGCTTTTTCTCCCCCCCAGGAAAATGCTACTTTGTTCCACTCAAGGAACAAATAAATGAATATGAAGGAAATGATGAGTAGGAACTGTTGTTCCCTGCTTTCTGTCAAAGCTGATTTTCCCAAGGGAACCTCACCAATCATGTTTTTAAAATAGCGTTCACTCTCTTGACTTTGCAGGATTGTATTTGTTTGCGCTGCTCGCTTGTCCTTGCGGTCCTGTCCTGTACAAGGCCCTACCACTGAGTGACTTTGTGCCCCCAGCTTAGCTCGGGCTGTCCTGGAAATTACTAGGTAGATCTGGCTGATCTCAAACTCACATAGAAACGCCTGCCTCTGCCTCCAAAGTGCTGGAGTTGAAGGTATACACCACTCTATGCCTGGCTTCACCCCAAACTTTTTATATGCCTTCTCTTTCTTTCCTCTAAATATACTAAACGTTTTACACTTTATCCATCGAAACTTGTTGCAAAAATTCCAATTTTCCTTTGTGATCTGAAATCATTTAATTAGCATAGTTTCTGGAACAAAACTTAAGGAATCAAATTAAATTTGGAATCTAATGTATTCCTTCTTCATACACACTCTTCTCAAAGTGGAATGTATCTCATTGGAGAGAAAAAGTAACGAAAGTAAAAATTCTAAATTTTACTACAAACATGGTAAAGCTATTTAGCAGCCCAATATAAGAATCAAACATGCTATGAAATGGAAATCCAGCCACATTGTAAATGTTATATCTGATAAGCCCTAATCTTAGATTACTTTGACCAATGCAGAATGCAATCTTTGTTGATTGTCCAAGGAAAATATACTCTAAAGTAAAAAGGAGAAGAAAATCTTTCTTCATGACTTTACACAAGCAAGTTCTCAGCATTGGGGAACTTTTTTTTGTTTTCCTTTCTGGCAGGTCTCTCTTCCTTTAGAGTTTGAAGAAATAATATGTCCTTCTTTGTGGTTTCAGTTCTTGCAAGTTGGGACTCAATAGTCTTGCCAACAGATCACACCCTCTGTTTTCCTCCTGTTGCAGGTTTTATTAGCAGTTCAGTCTGTGTAATTTATTTCTAGCCTGCTCTAGTTCCTCTTCTCCTTGGGATGCCTCTGGGCAGATACTTCTGGGATGCCATCAGAATCTGGACTGGAGCCAGGAAGGTGCACAAAGCAAACAACCCACTGAATGGTCTGTTTTCCATAGGAAAGCTGAAACAAAATGGTAACAGAAAAGTGGAGCTGGGAGACAGCCGAGCAAGTAAGAGTGCTTCCTGGACCCAGGTTTGGTTCCCAGCGCTGAGTTCTGTGATTAACAACCGCCTTCAGCTCCAGTGCCAGAGGATCACACACACACACACACACACACACACACACACACACAAAACAGAGACACAAACAGCATGGCATCAAATGCTTGCTCAAATACCACATCTTCACCCTCTTTGGTCCTTATGCACAGAAAAAAAAAAAAAAAAGCAAAAGTTGAAAGGGAAAAGGCTAGAAGTGGTGGCCGGGAGCTACAGGGACAGGTCTGAGCACTTGTCTGTCATCAGTGAGGTCCTGGGTATTTCCCTCAGCAGTGCTCAGCCCCACAGCTTAGAGTTGACACCTGAGATGCGAGCTTTGAACGTAGAAAGACATTGGGCCTGGCTTTGGTGCTGCCATCCCTGACAATCACCTCAGCATCTTCATCTCACACAGAATCCTAATCTGATCTCCAGGAGAAGCCCACAGGCAACCCCATGACCCGTGTACACTGGGCACAAATCAAGTGTTCAGTGTCTATGGTGGCAGTGTCTACTCCTCACCCTACTTTTAGGCTAAAGGCAAGTAAGAGACAAATGTAGCTTTATTGTTTTGAGACATCGAAGAAAACACAAAGCTTAAAATTGAAAAAAAAAAAAAAGGAAGAAACTCACAAATAAATGATCATTACTTAAAGTGAGCAAAGGGGAGCTCGCCTCTGGTCACACTTAAAGAGTCTCACAGTATCAAGTACAAGCCAGTGCTGCCTTGAAGACATCAAGATAAGCCTTCCCTAGGAAGCCACAGTCACTTCTACAGGGCAACGTGAGGGGACAGTGACATTTAAAGCGTAGGAGTTCACATACCCTCTGGGAACTGGATGCAGTCAGACATAATAATGATTCACTTTGTCCCCCATGCTGTGTGGATATGTGGAGGGCAGAAATCTCCCTGACCATCGTGTGAGCGAACAGGATGGTAACCCGGTACACCTTTGAAGACTTCCCGTCTGTTGTATTTGGGGGTGAACCAAGATTGGGAAAGTTACAGAAGGAAACTGAGACCTAGCTGTTCCATCAGATTCCAGAACAAATTGTAAAGCTCCTCTGCCTGCAAGGACTAGATCCCACATAACTGTAAGGCAAATATCTCTCTCATTTAATAGCCGAGAGACACATTAGGCATGCATATATTTAGTGACTAAATGGGCCACAAACCAAAATCATCCTTTCCAAGGCAATAATGCTTCTTTCAAAACTTGGAGCTTGTTGGGTGGGATAGTGAAAAAAGATTTAATGAAAAATAAAGATGGCTAACATTAGGAAGCATTTGCCGGATACCATAGTTGGGTATATGGAAATTAAAATACCAATAATTTCCCAAGAGGCTGGAATGCATTTAAAGTGTAAGGTTTTGTTGGCCAAGGAGATGGCTCAGCAGATAAAGAATACACCCACTATCATCTTCAGGCTTGCACACATACATGTGTACACACACACACACACTGTGACCAAAAAAAAAAAAAAAAGGTTTGAATTTTTATTCATGAAAACTGAATAAAGACTTTTATTAAAAGCAGCCAGGGAGCTATGAGAGATATAAGGAAATCTCTTGATAGTTAACACTTATGTTAACTATGGGGCAGTTTGTCAGAGGCGCAGCATGTCATGGGTTTCTGTGACATATTTTATTGACTACCAGATATCTTTGACTATAAGTCAAACAAACAAAAAGCAAACAAACAAGCAAAAACACTACAACCTGACACCCAATTCACTATCAATTGTCAATTAAATTATGATGCACACAGATTATAGGAGGGACTTTAGTTTCAGAGATTAGTGTACTTTGTGTATTAATTAACACCAGCCACATAGCTATCAAAGACTTTCTCTTCTTCTGAAGGCAGCAACCACTTACTGGCTAGTTTCGTTTACTGGGAAGCATTTTTGTTGTTGGTTTGGTTCGGTAATTTAAGGTCTTTGTTTTGCTTGTTGTGCGTTTAAAGCCTAAGCATTGTAGCCAGGCAAGTCTGGAACTTACTGTATAGCCCAAACTGGGTTCACACTCCTGCCAGTTCTGCTGCCTCCCAACTGCAGGGACAACAGACATGAGCCACCACACCTCGTTTGGAAGCTTCCTAATTTCATGAAGTCTCCACATACACAGTTTCTCTAAGACATAATTTTACCATGCAGCCATGACAGTTCTGGACTTCAGTGTGTAGGTCATGGCAGCTTCAAACTTGTGTTGCCTCTCAGGCCTTTGCTTCCTAAATGCTGTCACCACAGACGGACACCACCATGCCAGACATAATTCTTGCTATTATTTCCCAAGCTATTGGCATACTTTCCTGGATCTACATCTCAACGTGCTCAACATCTCCCTCTAGCAGTTTAGTGGATAACGCTTCACATAAAGGCCTTTGGTTCATTTTGAATTGCATTGATTTTTGTCCAGGTTCAGAGACCTAGATCCATTTTTATTCTCCTTCACATGGATACTCACTTTCCCCATGAAAGTACACAATGCATGGATTTGCACAGAGCCAGATCCATCGGTTTCGTTCTCACTTTAGTTTATGTGTTGCTGAAGCAAGCATTCTAGGTAAAGTCTAACTGGTTAACATATATATTTATATATTTGGTTTTTCAAAACAGTCTTTCTCTGTGTGTAGCCCTGGCTGTCCTGGAACTCGCTCTGTACACCAGGCTGGCCTCGAACTCACTGATGCCAACCCTGGCCTCCATGTTCATGTACATACACACACATACAGACACACACACACACTTCATACCCACTCCTGCCACCCTAATCAAGCCTAAGCCTAACTGGAGCTCATGGGTAATTTCTCTCAGTGGGTAGTTTACTGTCTTGATCACACAAAGGCTCACACAGTCAGTGTTTCCTGAGAAAATAAATGAAGGACAAGAAAGTTACAATGTTGCCAGTTGCAATTTGGTAAGTTGTTGTAACCTTTTTATCACACTATCTCACAAGTCAGTAATAGTCCATTCTGACCCCACATCAAAATAGCTTCAGTGCTAAAGAGCAATAGCATGCATCATTCTGGAAAATGAGCTCCTTCAAACCAATGCTCCACATACACGGCAAACAGCTTGTCTGGTGCTTTTGCTGTGGCTGATAAACTGAGAAGACACTGGTTGGGTTAAAGTTGGTTATGGCTGTAAATCCCTGCACAGAGGGGCCTCTGCTGTGAGATGCTTCTAGCAGCCACAGGCCCGTGTGCAGGTAGGTCCCTGTGAGCCCAGAAACCATGATGCTTTATTGAAACACACTATGCAGTCTTGGCCTGAATGCAGACTGGATTTATAAAAAATA